TTCTAAAGCTCAATTTAGGTATCATCATATCCTTGTCAGGGCCAACTGCTCAATCCCAGAAGAGTTAAGGACATTTAGGTCACAAAAGATGACTTTGTCAGCCAGTTAAAACAAGAATTATACCACGACACAAGCAATCCCATAAGTCCACTGTTTATTTTTTTCCAGAATACAAAAGCAGGCACACATGTGCTAATCTTCATATCAGTGATGAATTTGCCTGAAAGGAACAGGAAAGTTAGCAAGGATATGTACTAGTCCCAGGCAAGTCCAAGCAGCTCACATTCTGTAACTTTACTTCAAAACAGTTGTTCTTGTAAGTGAAGTCTTCCCAAAATGCATTACCTCACCTGTCTGCTGATACTAGTTCACTGGGATATTGAACATTCTCAAATTAAGTTTGAAGATGATTCACTCCTTCTCTAGTTCTTCTGAAGCCAGCTACTGCTCTGTCCAGCTAAATAAAACCAGTACGAATAAGGCCCAGGAATGAGCGCACCTAGCACTGGAGTCAGGATGTCTGAAATACTTATCCCACTTCTGTTCTTGGAGTGCATTGCAGGAACTTCTTAATCTCAGCTCTCTCTGTCAAAGACACGCAACTGCTTGCCCGAGGTATCAAGTAAACAATATTACATATTAAAAACAAATATAAGGCCTCACACCTGACCATACATTGCATTTTTATCACTTTGAAAAATCATTGACCCATCTTTTTCTATTTAAAGAGAAAACAAAGTTCTGTCTAATACTCACCTGACAAGGTGGATGACTTGCCAAATTTTTTTTACTTGTTCTTACATGAAAAAAATGTATTAAGAAATAGCAAATGGGTGGAGAAACAGAGCCAGTGTGTCTGTCTATTCTCTGCACCACATACTTTTAGCCCATCAGGCCTCTTTTAGATGAGACAAGCTAAAAGAGAAGCAGAGGACAGTCACAACTCACCACAGTTGCAGCCCCATCCTTCCTGTGGGCAGAGGTTAGACATGGCTCTTTTTGGCATGGGTGACCTGCTGTATGAGTCTATCGGAGATGAAAGAACCAAATTATACACTAGAACTACTAGGGAAAGCCACTAATATTCTACAGTATTAATCTTTTGTCATAAAAACGGAAGTATTTTAATTAAAATATTGAAACATCTGGTAATACTACACATTAATTTAAATATAAGCCAAATACACAAGCGAATCAGTGATACAATTTCTCGGCAATGGAAGAATACAATTACTACACGCTAGCTAAAACTTCAAGGGCGTTTCACAAGCAGATGGAGAAACATGCATTTTAGTACTTTATTCTTGTGGTTCTTGAAATACTCCAAATGCAGGGGTTTGAAAAAACTGTATTTTTTTCTCCATTAAAGTCCTTTTCCTATTCCTAATCATCTCATCCCTTTCTTTCAAATGTGTCTTTTGTATCTGTGTGAAAAGAGCAAAAAGAAAATAACCTTTTCAGTTCATTAAAAGGTTAAGGTTTGTTTCATAAACTTGTCAAGTGAAAAACACACAGAGAATAGTACAGTTTAGATAGTGGCCTAAAACAATTAGCGAGAAAAACACCAAAATGCACAATTGGGAGTGTAATTCAGCCCAAGGTACACTGAAAACTGAGTGCACCAAAAAGTTTTCCTTTGTATTCAAAATTTGGCACAGATATTGAAATGAGCATGAATAGGAACTGCAGTAAAAAGCTGCCAAATTTTATGCTTAAGAATCGCCTGCTTTCATTTCCACAGCCCAATGAATTCATTTGGGTAAGTTTGGATAAGTATTTGAAATAGACATCACATTTGAAAACAGTCAAAACATTTTTCAAGCAGTCCTTTCACTGATAGGATGAACTAAACTGCCACCTCAGCTCCCTTGTAGAAGCTAAAGCAACATGATATTCTACAAGAAGATCCTGCGTTGCTTTTTTCCTCCTATTACCGAAGGTAACTCCCCCTCCTCAAAGGAAGTAGACTGGAAAAAAACCAGAACTGAAGAGGGTGTGCCACAGGACTGGGACAGAGCTTTGTTGCCATCTATTTAAACTCAGCTTAATGGTGAAGGTACTTCACCAGGAGTGAACCTGCAACTTGCACAAAGGACAGTAATTTTTCATCCAACTGCAACAGTCTGATCAAAACTCTTACGGAAACTAGAACGTTAATTCCCAAATTGGGATCTGAAAGTCACTGACAGCCCGTAAGGCCACAATGGGCAGCAGCTGATCTGTGGGAGATAACCATAAAAATACCTCAGTAGGGTGAAGAATAATTGTTAACTGATAATGTTTCTCGACCCAATGAAGGTGAGAAATAATGAATTCAGATATTTAGTTACGCAATGCAAGAGCAGTTGAGTTAGGAAGGCAAAAGATCAAAGTCTCAATGGTTAGTGACGCAAAGAGCAACGTAGCAATTAATACCCAAATAATAACTGAAAAAAATAAGAGAACTGCTACGTTTTATCCACAGATAAGTAACAGAAACCCATAAATTGGCAGTTTCTTGCTCACCACAAGAGAACAGCCTGAAATTTCAAGCCTGCTCTTTAACCTTTTCTTCCTAGGTAGCAGCAGCCAGTCTTTCTTCCTTCTCTCCCAACTCCAGCCTGTGAAGCCATAAATGGACAAAGCCAGAGGAGATGACATCAGCATTACAACAGCAATTCCTTCCAAACATCATCTTCAGGTTTGCCTGTTTTGTGGCATATAGCTGTGCCCAAATTTCATGCAGCAATCTATGCCTGTTTAGACTGAAAAAAACCCAGTAAATTTGCTACTCTTCAGTCACTTGGCAACGCCCACATTGCCATCTCATTTAGTTACGATCCTCTCGTATCACCAGGTGAGACAACGACACATGGCCCTGCAAAAGTGTCAACTCCTAAGGGCTGCGATGATAGGTGGCTGAGGAACATTCAAGGCAAACACTGTTAAGTTTGCCCATACTAAGCCTTCTATTGCTGTGCATATTTTCAGTAGATTCTGTGTTACCAAATCTAGGTGCTGTCCTTCACACAGATAGAGGTCTTCTCTGCACTTCACACTGGTAAGCACCCTGTGAAAGCAGTTCACAGCTTTGTTGCTAACTGGCCAACTTCCTTCTAAAATGATTAAAACGTCTGTAAGAAATAAACTTGAATTGTTGATGGAGCAGACAGAAAAATGCTCTGGTAGAGCACCAAAATTTTTGTATTTCTAGAGCTACTACAAAGGAATATACAAAAACATTTTCTTTTTTTTTTTTATTTCTTTTTAGAAAAATCACAATGTTGATAGGAGGTTTTAGTAAGTAATTTTTACGCTTGCAAAAGCTGAAGAAGGATTCAAGAGTCTGGTTAGCTAAAAGCTAGTTTGAGCTTCCCCTGCCACTCTATCCCTAAGAAACACTGGCTTATTTCCATTTTCTCTACACTTGGCATTGATACGAGATACCTGTTTATTCATGCAGGTAAGCAGTACATTCCATTTCTTTGTATTTACATAGATCAAATGTTTATATAAAAATCACTTTTGCACCCTCAAACACATTTAAAGGTTTTAGCACTTTTATACTAAAAGCAGAAGTGGGGCAAAAAGAGGTTTACAAATTAATTCCATAACAAAATACTAAAATCTGTGTAGAGCTTTGTTGCAAGCTAAGGAACATGTACAAGAAATTCTTAAATGAATTATCCTTGGCATACATTCATATTTGAATGCACAGACATATTTACATGTTTAAAATCCAAATCCATAATGACTTCTAAGATGTTCCGTGAAATGACATCTTTCTGTAGAACTCTGCCAGGTGGCTGAAGCACATTAGTAAGACACATATCGTAAAATTGCATGAAAATTGGAAACAATTAGAATGAAAGCCAACAGAACTGGTCAGACTATTCCTTCCAGACAGAACTAGTTATTATTCCAGACTTAGTCCTTTAACTGTTACGAGTTGCAGTTTTCCATGTTTCCACAAATCCTTGAAACCTTCCTGCGGCTTTCAAGAGCCACAGCAAAACTCACAAGTGCTTTCAGTTGAGGATGCAATCACAGGTCCTCATCCCGATGGCAATCCTTCACAAGTCCAAAAGCATTCTTCACACATATGCTATTTATATTGTTCAAAGGATGCTTGTGGAATGAGGCTGGGTTGTTGTTCTGGTCAGTCTTGCTATTATGTACTTTCAAACTGTTTCTGTCTTTTAAGCCTTCTGAATTCAACATTATTTTCTGTTAAGTTTTTGGTTATGGAAGCCTGAAGATGTTAATCCCCACTCCCCAATGCTTCATCCACAACTGTTTAGACAATTGCCAAACATCAATCTTACCAGATGTACAAAATCGATTATGGTTCTGATTTGCAAATCAGGCTTTTCTGCATCTGACCAGCTCAATACTTGCTAAGCAGGAAGAACCAGAAAGGATGAAGGGTCTGCGTGCACTAGTTTGGGTGTTCTGAATCTGTACCAGACAGATACAACAAAAAAAAATTATGCAAAAACAAAACTGAATTTTTGTCTCCTGGATGCTCAAGAACAAGTATCCCTTCCCTGGTGGCTGACCCAGGCAGCTACACAGACTGTATCAGCAGTACCCCCACCCAGATCCATTACCCACACACAGTGAGCCATTTGCTTTCAGGTGCCCACAACATAGACCCAGTTGTTTGGCTGGTACACTCACTGCGTTCAGGATATTAAAAAAATGTTTGCACCGCCTGAGAGCAATGGCATAACAAAACATTAATTGCTTATTGTTTTTGGAAAGGTAAGGAAAAGTTAAACATACTGAATGCACTTGAGACACACCCATTTGTCACAGGAGTAAAGGAAAGCATGTAAAGGCACAACATACTTCTACACTCCTGTCATTAAGGCCATATATTGGTGTGCAACAATGCTTCACAGGGCTAACCATAGAGAAGTACTCAGGTCTAAGTCACACTCCCAGATGTGTTTCAAACAAGAACTGTTTTCTCATGTAGCTTCAGACACTGCTGTTTACATTATGCTTTTTTTGTTTCCTTTTTTTTTTCAGGCAGAATGCAGGCTCTCTATCCAGTTTCAATGATCTGTTATTCATCGTCCTTTCTTGAATTTAGTTCTCCAGAAGCGTGCGCTGAACTAAAAAGTGAAAAACAACTCAAGATTAATACACCAAGTTAGTATATATTGTAAGTTATGTATTACTGTGTAACACTGTATGTGGACAACAGACTTTTTTAGTAGGCATTTGAAACTGTGAGATAAATTCAGGTAAGCAGAGGCTTGATTCTGTGAAGCCAGCACCCTGCATACCAAGGGATGTTACATCCCAGATTTCTCACTCAAATAACCACATCCTACTAGATCCGTGTAGCTATCTACACTTGCAGTATAACTCAACATGCAGTTTCAGACTTGCAGTTTTGTGGATGCAAAAATGAAATGGAGTACAGTCTGGGTAACAGATAGAAAAAGTGGTTTGTTCAAAGAAAGCACTAGCCTAGGTTATCTACATTTTCAGGAAGTCAAAGATAAGTCTACATAAAATTTTAAAAATGCAAACCTCTTCTGCCATGCCATCTGACCTGGCTTAATGCAAGACTGCTTCTAACTAGAAGCCATGTAGGTGCGTCAACACTATATTACCAAAAGCAGAGTAAATGTCTGCTGACTCCCAGAACTTAGATCAGGAGTAGCACCATGCTGACCATGATTGCCCAGTTTCTTGGCTCAAAACATGCTCACACTTGCCTGCAAAATATAACAGAGGTATGAAATTTGGGATGTAACACGACATCAATATGTGGGCAGGAGTAATCATTTATGATAACATGCCACATTTGATTTTATTGGTTAAAATAAAGTATGCATCGTCTGACTCATCTTTCATATCTGAGTTCTGGTGAATCTTGGCCAAAATTTTAGCATATCCTGACTCCAACTCATATGTTAACTGCCTTTGGTAGAGGTCTTCGGACAATACTACTTGCTTCACTAATGCATAGCTGAATTGAGGATACCTGCCTATCTCCAGTCCTGACTTCAACAGCCAGTCACAAGAAAATGTTTTCTCCTTGAGAGTTTTATATATATAACAGCTTAAAGGAAAAATGTTTATAAAGAGGATCATGAGCCAGATGGAAGTTTTTAGCAAACTGATGAAATACCTAAGAGAAATAAGGTATATATTTTTTTTAAATTATAAAAAAAACAGAACTAGTTCTGCAGGTTTTAGATTAAGCCCACGGAAGAATATATTGCAGATCTATACTGCTCTGAGATTTTAATATGCAGTGTTTCAAAGACTCTCAACAAGCTTCAGCATGAGTTTGTACTGCTTCTTCCTTTGTTGACCAGTCACAAGGGCTAGAAGGCCAAGTTTTCACCTATACTGTTTCCTCCAGATCTGTCTATGGCTTTCCTGGAGTTAATCATCTGTTCCATCAGCCAAGTACCCCAGACAACCATACCTGGAAGGGTAAGGTTGTTAGGGTTTTTGTTGCTTTAAAAGAGATCCTTCCACAGCTGTCACCATTGTAGAAAGATTTATTATTTGATGATTCTTTCATACAAGAATCATTCTCTGTTCACAACAGAGAATGTTTTAGTTACAACAACATGCTAGTAAGTTCAGACCTCCTTGCCCCCAGTGTAGTTTCACCTCTGCCCAAAAACCATTAACATTTTTTAATATACTTTCTTGCAGAGTTCTTTATGGGTTTACAATCAAAAAAGGTATCAGATTCCAATCAGACACAACATACAGTAATAAAACACCTGTCAGCGAACTGCAGTTATGTATCACACTAAAGGGGCAGGCTTGTGCTTTCATAATTGTCTTTACTAACACTTTTGCAGAGAAAATTAAATTCTTTACTTTCTCCAGCTTCTGTATTTCAAAGACTCCTCAAGGCAATAAACCAATCTGTTCAAAGAATAAAAAACTAGAGAAGAGTGGCCATATTATCAGAACTGAAATCTTGATTCAACTCTAAGCTGTCATGGTAGTTACAAACATTTTTTTGTGAAACAAAACAAAACAGCCTAAGTAATTTTCTCCATTATGTTAGATGTCAGTAAAATGCATTTAATAGGATCCCCACCAAAAAGCCGATCTTCCATCTAGATTGTTCTCTTACCAGGTGGCTCAGATTGCGCTCCCCGATGGCTTTCCATATTCACATTCTCTTCATCTGCTAGGAAAAAAACAGACATTTAGCATTCAAATTCTCTTATCTTCAAAAGTTGTTGATTAATGGAGATAATTTGTGAGAAGAAATAGCACTGAAGAATCTGGGCTGCTGATAGTAATTGAGTTGCCCTTGTGTTGCCTGCATGCTAATTTTAACATGCGTGGTAGATGTTACTCAGTTTTCAAACTTCCCAAATTAAAAACAGCAGTGCCTGGCTGGATGACTGCTCTATCATCTCACTTCATCAACCAGTCAGAAAGACTTGAAAGGACAAAAACAAAGCTTCTGCCCCACCTATCACCCACAGTACTCCCAAAGTTCTCTGATACAAGTTATATCGTATTTAGGTGGAAAGGAAGCAGATAGCAAGCAATAGATGACTCAGAAGAAAGAATCATTTGGAGATGAATATCCGGGTAGCTGTCAGAAAACTAGTACGTAGGCAAACATCTTGTGAAAACACAAAGGCAAGATTTACAAAATTAGAAATAACAAAGTATTTTTCACCACAAAAATAGCGTCTAATCCCCAACTTGCACTCAATTTTCCTTAAAGAAATGTTTTCTTGCAGTCTCTCCTGCTTACTCTTTAGCAGAAAGTGCTTTTATTTTAAGAAATGCAGACCCTTAAGTCTGTCTGCTTCTGAAAGTCTAAATTTTGGGTGAGACATTCTTCAGACACCCTGTCTTAGATGACTAGTAAGAGAGATTACTCCCCGTGAACACAAATTCATCATGCTATTAAAACTACCTTATGCATAAGAACAATTTCTAGCCCCCCCTATAAATACAAAACCACATCTCTTTAGACAGTAGAAAACAAAACTAATTTAGAATTCTTACCACTTTGTTTGAAACAGAGTTTCTTCTTCTGGTAAGCAATGAAACTAGATACTGCTCCAATTACAGTAGCAAACACAGCACTAACAATTCCAGCTATGGCTCCCTGAGAAGCTGGGGTGGGGGGAAAAAAAAAAAGTTTGTATACATTTTTCAGAATTGAAAGTAATGTCAAACTTGCACTGTCTCAAAGTAAACTCTGTGAACACTTCCAAAAAACAATAAACTGAAATTATTACATGAAACTGTAGTAATCAACTCCTTCTATCTTTGCGAATAATGAAAACTGAATCCTCTAATTTTATAATCATTGGTTTCTTAGCAATGCCTATTGTTAAGCAACTTAAGCATGCCTGTTGTAAGTTCCACTAATTAAAAAAGCTACCCTAAATCTATCACAGACATAAATTTATATATTTACCCTCAGCTGTTTGGCCATCATTTGGACTTGGGTCCTTCCGTTCTGTAAAAATGAACAAAAGGTTTATATTTTACATGTCTAAAGAACAGTCATATAATAATTGACAACCTTTTAATCAATTAACCACGCAAAATTGCAAGCCATCTATTATATCCATACAGTGCTAAGCTCTGGCACTCAAACTTTCTATTTTCAAAGCACAGCTCATGGTGGTGCCAACTTCAGCCTTGGGTGCTCAGCACTTCTACAAAATGAGTGCGGCACACCTGTGAAATCTGGTTTAATCGACTTGCCCACCACCACAGAATACTCAGTGGAGAGGAAGAGCATATAAATTCAGGGTAGCATTCAACTGTATTTCCATGGAACCAACTATCTCTTCCTAAAATCCCAGCCTCATTTACTAAATACCTTTGCAATTCTCTTAGCAAACAAGACAGAAGTTCTGTAAATACCATCTTTATTTATCACTATGCAACTCGTACCACTGAAGCAGGAACCTGTGCAGATGAAAACACCACACGAGTCTCAAGAGATGCTTCTTGCCCCCGCCAATTTTCATGTTACTGCCCCAAAGTAACCTTGGAAGGTGAAAGCTTCCCAAAAAATTAGGATCATTAATCTCTGTCTAGGACAACTCTCTGAAGAAGTCAGTAACCAGTGGCACATCTCAAGACCACATCAGGATACTTAAGGTAACTTTGATCTGGAAATAGTAAAGTTGCAGTAATGCACACAGGGATGACTAACCCCATCTTAATGATGACTACTGTCATGTGCAGCTTGATCCCAATGACCATCTCTGTACTGAGCTGCACCATAATGATTGGACATGGCAGATTACTCTGAGAGTAAGCTATGAAATGGTTTTGTGCTGCTCAGAGTAGGAATACCCTACATCACTTTGAAGTATAAGGATCAATTTGTCCTCTGGGACAGATGAAATCTTTGAGAACACACGGCAGACCCTCTTCTGGCCCAGCCCTGGGCTTCCTAACCACAAGAACTAAAAGAAACTGATAGTATGTCACAGAAGATCTGAAAATAATACCTGGATGCCTTTAAGAACTACATTCATGGCAAATTTTGAAATAAGCACCACATTTACATCTCAGTTTTAAAACGCACCTTTCTTAGCATAACAGTAAAAATCATTGAAGGTTTTACCTCTAGACCAGTTTTACCCCTTAAATATCTGGGAGGTTTTGGCAGAGACAGAATACATTGCTTTTGAACTGGAAGGTATGCTCTTAAGTTTCAGATATCAGAACCAAAGGTGTTACAAATTAGACCATGTTAACCAGCTTGTGAGCAAGCTTTTATCAAAAGCTCAGGTGGCCATAGGATCGATATGAAGCACAATCTACTATCTTACCATTGCTGCCACCACCATGACCTCCTCTGTTTGGTAAACGACCATCATATAGATCTGAATCATCAAGTTTGCCTATTAAAAAAAAATTATTTTACACATTTTAAGTTCAGTGAAAAGACATCTCAAGGCACATAATGACATGCAAGTTTTCTCGAGATCGTTCAGCTGAGTTTGTGGTGGTTTTAGGCTCAGTGTCATAGTCACAACACGTTCAGGTTTCAAAAGCCCTCCCAATCTCAAGTCCCTTCAGCTCAGCACTACACAGTTTGATAGCAGCACTACTGCCTCTGGATTTCCTGAACAGAGAGAAGTCGGTGTCCAGGAGCAGGTAGTACTGCACAAGTCATAGACTAAGCAAGTAAGAAGCCCTGTAAACTACTTAACTGAACAGCCCAAGTCTCACTATCCTGTTGAAGCAGAGAAAGGACATGGACAGGAAAGGACCATTTCTTTTCAAGGCTGCAGCTGTGTTGGGTTTCAAAGTCACAACCAGTCTTTTGAACCTGTACAACACAGTAGCTAGAGGAAAAAAAAGAGTTCAACATGCCACAGTCCAGTGTCTGCAGTACTTGCAAGACGATGGGAAGATCCAAATGTAATTCCCTCCTCTGATTTATTGCAGGACATTGAACCAGTCCCTCTCCTCTTCCACTGGACCCTACCTCATGGGGGCTGAGCTCTCCTCCTTCCCTCTGCTGCCAATGAATCTTCAGTTTATGCAAAGCCAATCTGTTTTGAGCAGCAAAACTAAAAGCACTGCATCAGAGGATGTTTTAGTTGGGTGGCAAAAGCACTGTACTGAGGCATGCAAGATCTGAATTCAAGTATCTGCTGCAAATCAGGCAGGAGAAGAAACAAGAACCAGTGCTTGCATTCCAGGTAAGGACTCTTTACCAACATATTCATGGATAATGGCATCATCACAGCTGCATCCATCTGAATCTGTTTTGTTCTGAGTTAGGCAAAGACAGAAAAGACCTCTAAAGCACAACAGGCAGGGAAGGACATGTATTTTAAGCCTACCTTTCAAACACAAAAGAATTGTATTTCTTAACTGGGCCTTTAAAAAAAAACACTAAAAAACCCCCAACTCTTTAACTTTGAGCTTTACCTTTAATTTAGATGCTTTAAGAATACAGATCACAGGTAGTTTCTACTTTTTAGCATGACTAGCAGGGATTCAGTTTGTAAAGATGAAGGGACTCAATCCAATACACAGGTGCTCCACCATAAGCAGCCAAGAACAGCATTGCCCCAAGCACACACACTCTGTCCCATCCTTTCTCCTCCCCACACCATCCTGCTTTTAAGTGAATAGAAAGTGACTCAACAGGTTTGTTATGAAATTTCAAGACTACCGCAAAGCTTATTTGCAAGACAATTTTTCCTCAATCCTCAGTGTTTATCCAGTGCAACATCTGACATACATAGCACCCAGTTAACAAGCGATAATTATTAGAAGTTTAACTGAGATAGTAAAACCATGTCACGATTCAGGAGATTGTGCTACAAGCCATACCAGTGTCTTTAGGATGTGCAGGTGGACCTTGCTTGGGATTATCTACACACAAAGAGATATTTAGAAAAAAAAAAAAGAAAAAGGTTAAGATATCAAAAGCAGACTATAATACAGTAGCTTTGAAAGGGACTAGGAAAGATTAACAAATACTTTTCTACTGTTCAGAAATTCCTGTTAGGTCAGTCTTACCAGTGTCTCTAGGAGTTGCAGGCGGACCTGGCTTGGGGTCACCTGTAGACAAATAAGAGTTAGCATAAAGTCAGCAAAGTTACTAGTGTGAAGAGACCAAAACCAGAGCATATAGTGACCCTGAAAGACCATCTGACCTAAAAAATGGTATCAAATCTTCCCCATGTAATTTTCCTTTCCTTTCATGAGCTAATGCTGTATTTGTTTTGTTATTTTAGGTTAAACACTGTACTTAATGCAATTAACAGTTTTTCTACTACATTAGCTTGTATGTCAGACCCTTGCTATAACTGAACATATACAGAAGAACTCAGTAAGTGTTATGCAGTATTTTAGTTTGCATATCTGATTTCCAGCGTTGAACTTCCTTAAATTTTTCTACCAGGTACAGATTACTTGGCTGCTTCCTCTTTTAAAACTACCAGATTTTAACCAATAATAAAGGTTGGTACCTTACTCTAAAAAAAAAAACAAAAAAACAACCCCCCCCCCCCAAAAAAAACAAACAAAAAACTGGACAAGATACAATAGAAGTAGAAATATAGTCCCCACAGAGACACTTCGTTTAGCTTGCCACAAAATAGCAGAATAAGATATCTTAGTAATTATCTCTGTACTGTTTGGTCACAGTCTTTGTTGCCCACATCAAATTTACACACCAGCAGTGCTTTCTAAAACCGTGTTTTCACCAACAGCTGAACCAATGTAGTAGCCCATTTCTTCTGTATGCTACTTCTCCTTGATGTTGCATGGTCTTGCTTCCTCCCAGCTCTAGCACAAGTCAGATCAGGTCTCCTTAGGCTCTCTGCATATTCAAAGTAAAGAGGCAGGCACCTCCAGAGCACAGTTCTAAGACCCCAACTTAGGCTTGCTGTCCTATAAAGGATCCTCTCTCTTCACTTACGTGAACCATCTGATTCATTCAGCCAACTGTTTCCCAATTAGCCAATTCTGTTTTCAAAACCGTCAGCAGTTGGAAACAGACTGTTTTAAGAGAGACAAAACTTCGAAGGGCTAAATCAAACACAGCAGCAAACAGTGCTACTGTACTACAACTGTATGCCCTGTGTTAGGAAAGCTGTCTATACTGCAACAGGTCCAGTGACGGTACTCAAAAAGCTACTGTGCATTATCTGCCTAACCGGATGCATCTTTTACTGGCTGAGTGAAAAAAATACTGCAATTTCTACTGCTGGCCACACTGCAGAGCTGAAGCGCATAGAAAGAGCACCTTCCCTCATGTTATTTCAAACAGATTAATGTTTCCTTGTGCTACTAAAATTACTTCCTGGAAAGGAAAAGATTACTTCAGATTTAAAAACTACTTCCATAAGTAATAGTTTATGGAATTAGTGCCATCTAGTGAAGACCCAGCAATGAAACAAGTGGGACTTGTCTATCAAATGAGTGAAATACATACAGTTTTTGTGGTACAGACCCTTAAAAATGAAGGTAAATAAACATAACTAGACTGCAATTATTTTTATCTGCAGTCTTTTACCTTAATCAGCTCAGCGCCCTTATTACATTTAAGTAATAGATAGACATTGCACCAAGTACCACTGAGCAGTATCCAGGAAAACATGATACTTACCAGGATGAAGAGCATCTTCCAAGTTGAAATCCCCTACAAAGAAGGAAAAGAAGTTTTAAACATAATGCAAAAACTGAGCTAGTTTTAGACTATTTTTACACAAAATGCACCTCACAATGTTTAATATAATGGCATGCTCATTCAACAGTGGCCCATGGAATAGCACCACAGAGCTACCAGGCATTATCTGTCAAACTACATGCTGCTTTTGGTGGTCATGGTACATGCCAAGGGCCAGCTCAGGGGGAGCAAGCTCAAAACATACAGACTGAAAGCCAAAAGAAGGGATTCTCACAGGGTCTTTAAGCTTGTGAAATCACAAAGTAAATTTGTGAAAACACTAGCAGAAGACTCCAAAATGCAGAAATCCTTTTGCTATTAGGGAACGACTTTCTTTTATAGAAATATCACAACTCTGTGTGCCACTGACTTGAAAAATTCAGGCCCTTGAATTAGTATCTACAACTACACTTGACTTCACAGTGAAAGGCATTACAAGCCAATTAGATCTCACCTGAATCTGATGCTGATGGCCTCTGAGATGGAAGAGGATTCTTTGTAGTTTCTGTCAGGGATGGTTAGAAAAAAAAAAAGTTTAAATACCATTTAACACATTGTTCAGAAGATACATTGAAGGACGAATATAAGTCTATATCTACACAATGAAATGCACAGGATTATGTCTATACAGCAAGACATTTTCCCCTTAAGAGGAATTCCTGAGTGTTCCCAAAGACACATTTCAGTTCTATGCAGTCAACATTTTGACACACCCATAGCTGAATTGTTCCACTGGGGTTTAAACAAACCATATGTGGGGAAGGTGTCATGCTTGGTCATGCAGTGATACTCAGGAACAAACAAGTCAAAAGAGCAGTCACTATTTTCCCACCTACCTCCCAAAATTTGCAAGAGTGTAATAATTACCAAATGCATCTTGTAAGTTGAAGTCGTCAAAATTGCCTGTAGATGAAAGCAACAGTAAGAACACTGGTTTTGTGTACTCAAACCCAACACTTATTACAGTCATAAACATGTCTTTGATCTATCTTGAGGTATGTTTTCTGCTTCCTGTGTCAGACTAGAAGAATATTTTGAGTAAGGGCTGAAGACACTCTTCTCTATTTCTCCAGACCACTATCTACACATCTCTTTGGAAAAAAAAGGAACAGCACTAAAAATTGTCTCTATAGAAAGGATCCAGAAGGCCAGAACACATATTTCTACAGTAAATACAATGCACTTAATCCTTTATTCTTGCCACTCCTATTGCATGCTTTCTTAGTGCCATCCACAGCATATTCTTTCCCAGCCTTCTTTCCATTGAACCACAAAATGAGCAGGGCACAGCTCCAATTCACAAGACTTTACAAGATTCAAGTGTGAAGAAGAGCCTTGGAGCAAAAAGGCTAGTATGAAAGTTATATGATCAGGTAATAGATTTAATACCTTGGCATTAGAAATTAATTTTCATGGGTTTATAAGACTTATCTTTTCCCCTAACAAAGGTTAACAGTATGAAGGTGGTTAAGTTACTACCACAGATGATCTTGAGCAGTCTCTTCAACTTACTAGAAGACAGCTAAATGTGGCTGTCACCACTATGGGTTCTCCACTCCAGGTGGATTAAGTTTCATTTGCAGCCCTTAGGAAAAGAACATTCTCTCTTGCTGCTTTAGGTCAGTTGCTAGAGCTACTGCTGCTTACCCATCTGTCCTGGTTTTGGCTGGGATAGAGTTAATTTTCCTTCTAATAGCTAGTATAGTGCTGTGGTTAGGACTCAGTATGAGAAGAATGCTGATAACACACTGATGTTTTCAGCTGTTGCTAAGTAGTGTTTAGACTAAATCAAGGATTTTTCAGCTTCTCCTGCCTAGCCAGCGAGAAGGCTGGAGGGGCACAAGAAGTTGGGAGGGGACACAGCCAGGATGCTGACCCAAACTGGCCAAAGGGGTATTCCATACCATGTGACATCATGTCCAGTATATAAACTGGGGGGAGTTGGCCTGGAGGGGTGGATTGCTGCTCAGGAACTAACTGGGCGTTGGTCAGCGAGTGGTGAGCAATTGCATTGTGCATCAATTGTTTTGTATATTCCAATACTTTTTTTATTATTATTATTATAGTCATTTTATTATTATCATTACTATTTTCTTCCATTCTGTCCTATTAAACTGTCTTTATCTCAACCCACGAGTTTTACATATTTTTTTTTCCCTGATTCTCTCCCCCATCCCAGGGTGGAGGGGAAGTGAGCGAACAGCTGCGTGGTGCTTCATCGCTGGCTGGGGTTAAACCACACCACCAGCCAACTGCAGACACACTCACTCAATATATTCATGATACAAACTGGTTTCACAGCATGAATATAGGAGTGTGATCTCAGCAGCAGAGGCTTGTAAGATAAATGGACAGCTAAAACAACTGCTTGGGATATTTCCGATAGTGCATCATTCCTACTTTCACTGAAGCATGGAAAAAAGGCATGAAAGTAGATACCAACTATTCAAGAAAAAGACATCCAAATACACTGCTCCAGCCCCAAAGAAGCTGGAAGACTTTTTCTACCGAGTATCAAGCCAGCCAAAGCAAAACTTAATTCCAGCCAGAACTACCTTAATTCAGAAGGTGCAAGCATAAAGCCTTGATGTGTCTGGCTTTTCCTCTAGGAATGTAGCTACAGAAGAGGAATCAGAACTGGCTACTGCAAAGTCTGAAGAGAGGAATAAAAAACAAACATCAAAAATAAAACCATGAGCAGAATGTTCCTTCTGCTTACATGACAGGCCAAGTTAAGACAAGGACAAATCATGAGTCTAGTACCAGGAATGACAGATGCTCGTATACTTGATGATATCCTTCTCAGCTGAGGTCAAAATTGAAATCTCTTTTCCTTCTCAGATAACTGCACTAATAATGCCTTTTTTTTTTCCAGAGAAGAAATGAGACTAAGATACATTTTTATTTTTTTAATATGGAAGCAAGGAATGACAACCTGAATAAAATATCAAAGGCAAGCTCACAGTTTCCTGAAAACATCTTTCAAGCTAGTCTTCAGTCTGGCCAACTGAACTGCTACAGCAGAAACTGAAATCTGAAGTCTAAGCAGCGATTTCCATACTGTAACATTCAAACTGAGTATCACCTTGCTCATAGCCATGTAGGGAGGTAGTAGCACTGCCTGGTCTGTGACAGGCCCCTTCATGAAAACAGAGGCAATTCCTGGCTTTAATGTGGTGCATGAGCAAAGGGCATTTAAAATGTCCTGGATAAAGTCATTAGGTATAGATCTTGGATAGAAAGCAAGAAGATATTTTACTTGGTGTTCTTCACTCCAGGTGGAGACCATAAGCTCTTTTAGACACTTAGCTCATGAAAAACTGTTTCACAGAATGCAAAATATATGCAGGTTGTTTATCTGAAGCCTACATCATCTTGCAATACAATCTTAAAAACCTCAGTAAAGTGAGCAGTTGCTAAGACCCAAATCTCAGTTACCTCTGAAGTTGTCCCTTTGTTCAGACTACACCAAGAAACCTCCATATTAATAGGCAAAAAAGGTCAAAGCACTCAAGAGAACTTTAAAAGAGATATTTGCATAGTAGTTCCTCAAACTTGAATTCTGGTTTGTTTGCTTTCTCAAGTACGTACATCTTGCAAGCTACAGTCCTCCAGGGAGGAATGCCTAAGACAGGACCTGATCAGATATTTGCTAGTCTAACTCTTAAGAAGGCAGGCAGAAGGATCTGCTGAAGATGCATGCTCCTCAAAACATTCTACCACAGCAGCAACCAGAGGATGGACCACCACCATCTGTCTCAAGGTTAAAGATATATTACTAAGTCAATGAATCTTACATTGATGGGTGTATTTCAAGAGCACTATTTCTTTTTAGAAGGAGTGGCAGAGGGAAAAAACAAGCACATATGCTCAACATTATGCTTTGGTGCAGCTGAAGTTTCACCGGGAGCAGAAAAGAGGCTATTTGAAGAGTCTCCCACTGCCACCATGAAACTTAGTCCGAGAACTCTCTGAATGGTTCCAGCTGCAGTGGTTTCCCTCAAGAGGAGGAAACCAGTGTAAAAAGAGTGTGCATTCAGTGACATTTCTATTTTAAGGGATTGTTTTCACACGTGAACTTCATGGAGAAATAATTTAGGATGAGACTGCTGACTGCCAATCTCATATAAGATGTGCTTTGAGAGACCAATAAACAAATCTGACAGTTAATAAAAGAAAAAAATAATTCTATATTGACTGAATTATTCAATATTCTGCAACCACAATTCTGTCTTCCAAGCATGCAGCAAGATGTCAGGCTCTTCAAACACATTACTTTATCTCAATAAAGTAGCAGAAAATGTCAAAACCTAGCGTATGAAACTCATTACGATAATCTGCAGTCTGAAGTGCTGGCAGTCTGCTTTCCCAGCAAAGACCAGGTGTTGCGCCACTGTTCACGACAAACCTTTGTATGTCTTTAAAGCACTTGCTTTTACAACTGTACTCACTCAGCTTTTAGTATGGGTGGGTCCAACTAAACTAGAAGTTCAATTATTTAGACTGAAAGGAGAGAGGCTCAGTACCAGGGATTCAGCTCGTTCCAGGGAAGGAACAATCAGACAACAGAGATAAAGCTACAGAACTAGAATAAAGGTAGTAGCAGGATCCAGGAAGAAGTCAGCAAGAATATGCTGCACTCATTACAGGTTTAAGGAGCACCCAGAGTAACCGAGCTTATGAGCATTTTCTTAGTCTAAGCAAAGATAATTGCAAATAAAGCAGACATTATACTGCATATAAAGCACAACACAGCAGGTATTTCTAGCTCTGTGCTGGTTTTGGCTGGGACAGAGTTAATTTTCTTCACAGTAGCTAGTATGGGGCCATGATTTGGATTTGTGCTGGAAACTAGTGCTGATAACCCAGGGATGTTTTTGTTCCTGCTGAGCAGTGCTCACCCAGAGCCAAGGGCTTTTCTGCTTCTCCCCCCACCCCACCAGGAGCAGGCTGGGGTGGCACAAGGAGTTGGGAGGGGACACAGCCGGGACAGCTGACCCCAACTGACTCAAGGGAGATGCCAGATCATAGGATGTCATGCTCAGCAGATAAAGCTGAAGGGGGAAGAAGAAGGAAGGGGGGGACGTTAGGAGTGATAGCGTTTGTCTTCCCAAGTCACCATTACGCTTTCCTGGAGATGGCTGAACACCTGCCTGCCCATGGGAAGTGGGGAATGAATTCCTTGTTTTGCTTTGCTTGAGCATGTGACTTTTGCTTTCGCTATTAAACTGTCTTTATCTCAGTCCACGATTTTTCTCACTTTTACCCTTCTGATTCTCTCCCCATCTCACTGTGAGGGAGGTGAGTGAGCAGCTGCATGAGGCTTAGTTGCACCCACCCAGCTGGGGCTAAACCACGACAAGCTCCTAAGGGCATGAGCAGATTCAAGAACATTTCAGAAGTGTCTACACTATTTTCCTTCCATGTCCGTAGCTCATATACCAGGTTCTCAAGAGACAGGTCTTCAGCAGGCTGTCCCCAATAACCTGCATGGTTTGTGTCAGATGGGGGAAAACCAGCAGATAAAACAAAAGAGCAATTGAAAAAGCTGATGAGCTAGAGGGTATTCAAGAGAGCCAAGTAACTACTCAAATAGGAGTCCTTTGCAAAGACCCATCACTGCTCTCTGATACTTACTGCTATGGTATTAGATTAGTCATATTTACATTCCAGTGCCGAAGCCAACATGAGCTTTGCAAAGTTCCTCCATTAGTCACGTGTATGGCAACACACCAAGAAAGGAAACTCGTGATGAATCACCACAAACATAACTTTCTGACTTGAGCAACAGACTGCTTGAATTTTGTTTTTCTAAAAATGCTGGCGCTCTCCTCCTTCCCTGCCTCCCTCCCCAGCGCCCTGCACACCACAGGGTGCCACATAGCCTGCAGGCTGCAGCTGGTCTTCCAGTTGTAGGCCTACAGACCAGGTGACAGTGGTCAGCTTGTCCCTGTCCCACTGCTGGAC